TGTGTAAGAATGGTATAACAAATGAGAATCGGGGGAGGGGTGCCTGGGTGGCTCAGTCAGTTAAACAAATGCTCTCGGCTCAGGTCATGATCCCAGGGTCCTGGAACCAAGTCCCACATTGGGCTCCCTGCTCAGTGGGGAGCCTGCTTCTCCCTCTCCCTGCTGCTCCCCCTACTTGTGTCTCTCTCTCACTGTTAAATAAATAAATAAAATTAAAAAAAAAAAAAAGGTAAAGTGGCAATTTCCCTGATTTCTCTTAAAAAAAAAAAAAAAAAGAAATGAGAATGGGGTGCCTGGGTGGCTCAGTCATTAAGCATTCAGCTCAGGTCATGATCCCAGGGTCCTGAGCATCTCTCACCCTGCTCCGGGAGTCTGCTTGTCCCTCATCCTGCTCATGCTAGCTCCCTCTCTCTCAAATACATAAATAAATAAATCTTAAAAAAGAGAAAAGAGAATACATTTTTGTTGAGGTAAAAGAAAGTAATTTTGTCCTAAAATGAGACTGGTTATTTAGAAAAAAGGTTTGGGACAAATCTGAATGAAAAAGTTGTAGAAGGTTTGTGAAGGAAAATTTTTCAAATGGGAAAAAGATAATTTTATGTGTGCTCAAAACTAAGATGGAAATGAATGGATTTTTTTTAAAAGATTTTTATTTATTTGACAGAGATCACAAGTAGGCAGAGAGGCAGGCAGAGAGAGAGAGAGAGAGGAGGAAGCAGGCTCCCCACCGAGCAGAGAGCCCGACTCGGGGCTCGATCCCAGGACCCCGGGATCGTGACCCGAGCAGAAGGCGGAGGCTTAACCCACTGAGCCACCCAGGTGCCCCAGAAATGAATGGATTTTAAAAGTATACTTGTATAAGACTGAAATTCTGTTTTTCTTTCTATTAAAAAGACAAAGTTTTCTGGGATTATTGGTCAGTTTTTTTGTTTTTTTTTTTTTTTTTTGTTAAGATTTTTATTGATTTATTTGACAGACATCACAAGTAGGCAGAGAGAGAGGGGGAAGCAGGCTCCCCGCTGAGCAGGGAGCCCGATGTAGGACTTGATTCCAGGACCCTGGGATCATGACCTGAGCCAAAAGCAGAGGCTTAACCCATTGAGCCACCCGGGCACCCCTGTTGGTCAGTTCTTGATAAAATACTTTCTTATACTTGATATGATACTTTCTTGATAAGAAAGTATAAACAAAGTTTTTTTTTCTTTGTGCAGAAAACCAAAGTTTCTATGTTTTGCCTTTATCAGGTCTTTGATTACTTAGAACTAAAACTTCTCGAATATTAAACGAGCTAAGTTTTGCTAACTATATAACCTTCTGTAGACTCTCTTATTGCCACCTTGGTTAAATAGTTAATTAAATATTAAGTGTTATAGGGGCGCCTGGGTGGCTCAGAGGGTTAAAGCCACTGCTTTCGGCTCAGGTCATGATCCCAGGGTCCTGGGATCGAGCCCCATATCAGGCTCTCCGCTCAGCAGGGAGCCTGCTTCTCTTCCTCTCTCTCTGCCTGCCTCTCTGCCTACTTGTGATCTCTGTGTGTCAGATAAGTAAATAAAATTAAAAAAAAAAAAAACTTAAAAAAATATTAAGTGTTATAATAATGGTCCTATTTAGGCATGTGTTTTAGAACTTTGAGGGTTTTTTATTTATTTATTTAATTTAATTTTATTATTTTTTTAACTTTGAGGTTTTTTAAAACAAACTTCCCTAGATTCAATTTCTAAATGAAGTCTTTTTGACTAATTAAGCTTTTTTATTTGGTATGTTAAGTTACTGATAAGCCTGGTTTGAAACATTGCTAGTTCTCTAATGTTTGCTCTTCCAAATTTAAGGAGATTTTCTCTTAGGATATCTGTGACTTATGGAAATATGATAACATATTCCTTTGTGAACAAATTTAATCATTTGACTTTTCTCTCTACCCGAACCCTCGTGAATTCATAAGTATTCTTTCTTTCATGACAGTTAAAATTGTTTGCATAAATTTGGCAAATCTGTTCTTTTTATAACAGGACACCATTGGAAATATTCATTATACTACCAAGGCTTTGACTGGAATGCCATATTGGAGAGAGACATACATAGAATCAGATTTGACTAGGCAGCTTTAAGGAACTAAGGTTGACTTTACAGAGTCAATAAAGTTCCTTGGAGATGTCAGTGGGATGTCTTGCGTAGGAAGTCCCCAGCAGCCTTACCGGGTGAGTCAAGAATGTCACTTCCTGGCAGGTACTGGAAACTTTAGAATATTTGGGGGACCTCAAGAAGAGGAATTCACCTAAATCTACAGGTATTACAGGCAAATCTGACACAAGTATTTGGCTTGGCTTCTGGCCTCAAGACACTATTAGAAGTTTAATCTGGGGTGCTTGGGTGGCTCACTCAGTTAAGCTTCTGCCTTTGGCTCAGGTCATGATCTCAGGATCCTGGGATCGAGCCCACATCCGGCTCCCTGCTCACCAGGGAGTCTGCTTCTCCCTCACTCTCCCTCTGTGCTCTGTCAAATAAATAAATTTTTTTTTTTTTTTAAGATTTTATTTATTTGACAGAGAGATCACAAGCAGGCAGAGAGGCAGGCAGAGAGAGAGGAGGAAGCAGGCTCCCCTAGAGAGCAGAGAGCCCGATGCGGGGCTCGATCCCAGGACTCTGAGATCATGACCTGAGCCGAAGGCAGCGGCTTAACCCACTGAGCCACCCAGGCGCCCCTCAAATAAATAAAAATCTTAAAAAAATAAAAAAGTTCAATCTAGAGAATCCTTATGAACAGTTCTAGCAAAGCAAGTTTTAAAGAATTTATGCAGTCAATCACTATTCTTGCTGAGCTTATGTAAATAATTAGGCCAAGGTTGTTAAAATTGGACTTTTCAAATGATTTAGTCTCAATTTGGCTATCTTTAGAAATGAGGGCGACTTTAGGAAGAAAAATTATGTTTCAATAACACACCTTCGTGGATGTTAAGTTCTAGTCCTGATTATCTTTGAGTGTGTGTTTGCCTATGCTGGACAGTTTGAGTTAAACTTCAGAGAAATTGTCACAGTAGCTGACATATAGACAGTCCTCATGTTTGTTTCTCTGTGGGGATGATAAGACCACATGGGCATATGATTACTTGAACAGCGGGACAATGGGATGGATTCCCCAACAATCATAAAACTCAACTATCACCTTGACCAGTTCTCTGTGGTTGGGATGGCAAAACTGCTCCTTCAAAGCTGGAGCATACCCCATTCCATGGGGTTAACTATGGACTTGTGGAGACAGTGCATGGCCTAACTTTCCTTATGATAGGATTGGATGATGCACTTGGGGATACCCTTATTTCCTGGAACAAGTCCCCTCCCACTTGCCATTGATTCCTCCTAATTAAGGCATTGTTAAGGCTAGACTTCCAGCAAAGAAGGCTTCTTGATTCCTTTATCCCCTTGGCTCTGTCCCAGGAGCTGTCTCTAGGGAATTAAAATTCCAAGTAGAGGCTTTAGCCAAACATACAGTGCCACCGTTTGGCGAACCTGTCACTCACAAATTCAGAAGGTGGCTCTCTAAAACCAAATGGTTCTTAAAGATACTGACTGCAGCTCAAGGAGGACCTGTGCCCTAACCCTAACCCGAATTACTCAAAAAATGTAGCTGACGTCACGAAAGAGTTAAACACATCACCACCATAGATGCTCCAGCTCTAGATCCTTTTAGCAATTGGCTAAATTTAACTCCTCCTAAACGGAAATATACCCTATATTGCTGTATTTCTTGTTCTCCTTGTCTTTGGTGGTTTGAGTTTTCGCAGCTGTCAAGCAGCTCTCTGTATTCGTACTAGCTGGGAGATGCCCTCAGAGTCTCCCTCAGTAGAAATGCCAGAAACAGGACCCCACCACCACTCAGTAAAAGTCTTTACTCCAAGATCCTTTTGTGGTCCCCAATTAGGAGGAAGTAGCAACAGAAGAGGACCTTCTCCTTTAATCCCAGATATGGAATGAAGAAACTGAAAGTGGGGAATTGAAGGCTCCCCTGCCAGCCCAGCCACACTAGTACCCTTTGAGCTCTAGCAAGCACCCTTAGCCCCTGTGAGTAATCTTTATCTGTACACCATGCATTCTTTTTTAAACGATTTTATTTATTTATTTGAGAGAGTGAGAGCAGGGATCAGGACAGAGGGGGAAGCGGACTCCCCACTAAGCAGGGGACCGATGCCCACCTCGTCCCAGGACCCTGGGATCGCAACCCCGGTGGAAGACAGACGCCTAATCCACCGAGCCACGCAGGCGCCCCACCTGCACAAACCAGACAGTGCGGAGCCATTCCCCTTGCACAGCTTCGGAGCACGGCGATAACGCGGCTGGCTGGTACCGTCGTTCTGCGCCTGGTCAAGAAAAGCGAGGGGCCGCTGCCCTCCCGTTACTGATCAACGGCCCTAAACTCCTTTAAACATGCCCGAGCCAGGCCTGACGCTGGAGCGGGCCTTCGGACAGGGCGCCGCCTTCTTCCCAGAAAGCCGGGGTCGCTCTCCGGTCAGAGCGCCTCTCCCTCCGCGGCAAGTGTGGAAAGAGCGCGCGGGACGGCTCCGCAGAACCGGCCAGGACGCGTCCGCACGCCCGGCGGCTTCAGGCCCCTTCCCGGACCCCGGCGAGAGCCTCCCAGGCCGGCCGGCTTGCGCAGTCCCGCCCGCGTGGCGCACTCGGCGGGCGGCTGCTGGTCGTCCGCCCCCCGACTGGGGCAGAGAGCGACGCCGCTGCACCGTGTCTGAAGGCCGCGTTTGAGAACCGCGATCTTGCCCCCCCGCAGCCAGCGCCAACCCGCGGACGGCCCGCTCGGGCGGCCCCGGTCCGGAACTGCGGGGGGCCCCGCCCGCCGCTCCTTCCCTTTCCGCGGAGGGCCGGGGCCGCGGCGGAAGTGCCCCTGCGCCAGCACTGCCCATGGCCGCCGCTCCAGTGTGCGCCGCCTGCGGAGGCCAAGGCTGGAACTGGCGGAAATGACATCATCAGCGCGCGCCAGAAGTCCGGCAGGGTCGGGAAGGGTCGCCGTGGCGGGCGCCTGGGCCGCCCGCGGCTCAGCTTCGTTTCCGCGGGCCTGCGGTGGTCTCTGCGGGGACTCAGGTAACGGCCGCTTTAGGTTCTCCTCTGCCCGGGGGATTCGCGCAGAGGCGACCGTGCAGCGAGCCCCCGGGGCGGGGGCGGGGGAGACGCTGAGCGGGCGCGCAGGCCGCGGGGGGAGGGGGACGTTCCTCCGGCTTGTGCCGCCGCCGCTCCGGCCTCTACCGGCCGCCCGCCCGGCCCGGCCCGCTGCCTCGGTTCCCTCAGCGGCTGTGCCTCGGAGGCGGCGTCCGTTGTTGGAGCGCCGGGCTCCGGGAGGCCCGGACCTAGCAGCGCCGCACAGCCTGCGGCTGGAGGCGTCTCCGCGTCGTGCCGGAGGGCGGGTGGAGCCCGGCCGGTGCGCCCCTGCTCGGCCGCCCGCAGGAGTGTCGCGGCCCTCGGGCGCCGGAGAGCCCGAGGGGAGGCAGCAGCCCCGGCCTTAGCAGGCCTAGCGGTGCGGGTCCCCGGCGGCGCGGTTCCCAAATCCGGACGTGTCGCCGGGCGCCTGGCGCGGAAGAGCGCGCCCGACAGAGGTGCGCCGACGCCGGGAGGCTCGAGGCTTCCCCGTTGGTGATTGTTCGCTGCGTCAGCCTGCGGGATAGGAGCGCGTCCCGCACGCGGCTGCGTGTTTGAGAGAGAAGTGGGCGCTGCGGGGGCCGCCGTAAGCGGGAACGGAGGACCGCGCGCGCGTGCTCCGGCGGGAAAGGCGTGCGGTCGGCGCGGCGAGCGCCGGGCTCCCGGCAGCCCGAACGCCGCGCCCCAGCCCAGCGGCGCCCCAGCCCGCGCTGCGGGTTCCCCGCGCGGAGGGTCGCAATGCCGGGCCGGGTCTGGGGCCTCGGCGTCTGGGGACGTCTCTTGTCGTGCGTCTGGTCTCGGATCTCGGCCGTAGCGGGGACCGCCCCCACGGAGAGTCGCCTGCGGTCAGTTTTGTCTGGCCAGACTGGCCCGCGCCCGCGGCGAAGGGCACCTCTTCACGCGCACGTGCGAGCCTTGGCACCGCTCTTGCCGCAGTGACCGGGAGTCGCGCTCGGAGCCCGCGCGGCGCGCCGACGCCGGCGGTGCGGGTCCTGAGCTTGTGTCTCGCGGGCCGCGCGCTCTTGAGTCCTGTCGTCTTGCGATGGATCTTTGGCCTGAAATTCTGATGTGTGAGTTTCTGCTCAGCTGCCCGCCGGACGCAGTGACGCGGTCCGAGCTTTGCGAAAACGCCCAGTTTCAGAGCACCGGGCGGTGTGTCTGGGTCTGCGTGGCGGGCGCGCGCTGCCTCTGGGTGACGCGCTGTCCGCAGGCGGGTGGCGAAGTGGCTGGCTGCGCGCCGTAGGACCCTCTGTTGCCGGAATGTCCGTCTGGCCGCGAGTCTTTTCCTGCCTCCAGACTGAGCTCTGATGCTGATGACCGTACCCTTTTCGTGCTCTTACTTGTAGCACTTCTGTTGTAGGACCACAGTTTTAAAAATATAATTTTCTTATATCTGATATTTTCTGAAGTGGGTGTTCCCGTTTTTCTTCTCTCTCTCTCTCTCTCTCTCTCTCTCTTTTTTTTTTTTTTTTTGGTCTTTTTCAGTGATGGGTATGCAGGATATATAGTCTTTGGGTCCTTTGTCCTCTCAAAGTGATTGTCTGATTCTCTCATTCATTCAAGAAATATCTGAGTGCTCGGTTTGTACCAATACATGCTTGATGTGTCTTTGATATGTAACATGTAGCTTTGAGACCAGCAAGTTTTATATGTGACAATATCTTATTAGATGATAATGTTTAAACTGAAATAATAATAGCTAACATTTATCCTGTGCTTACTATGTGATAACTAGATGCTGCTTTTTTAAAAAAATATTTTACTTATTGACAGAGATCACATATAGGCAGAGGGGTGGGGGGAAGCAGGCTCTCCGCTGAGCAGAGAGCCCCATGCAGGGCTGCATCCCAGAACCCTGAGATCGTGACCTGAGCTGAAGGCAGAGGCTTAACCCTCTGAGCCACCAGGCGCCCCTGGGTGGTGCTCCTGATGTGTTCATCAGCCAGTCCTGTTTGATGCTGTCAGTTCTCATAGCAAGTTAAGGATCCATCTGAGCTAAACTCAACAGAAGGTAGTCGCTTGGTTTTTTTGTCTAAAAGAAATAAAAAATGTGCAGCTAGTAAAGAGACGACGAGTTAAGGAAAACTAGGTAGAGCACAGTTTGTATTTACGGGTTTTGAAGAGCTCAAGTTACTATGTGTATAAAAACACGTTTTATTTATTTTTGGGTCTGCACAGCTTCTATTACAGTGTTCTATTAAATTAGTAGATCAATAAACGGTCACAATGTATTGGATCCAATTCAGTATTTATTGAGCTTAACACCCAAGACATTGTGGAGAATATATAATGTCTAATAGCACTGCTACAGTGCTCAGTAAATATTTCTACTCAGAGATGACCGTTTGCTTAGGAATTTGTTTTCTCTGGATATCTTTCCCCCAAAGATTTTTAACATTGATTATGACACCTTAATTTTGAACATTCTTAAGTATTTAAATATGTAATAAAACAATTTTTGTTCTATTGATAGTTCTACATACCAACACAATAAACGTAGAAAAAATAACATTTCAGCATTATAAGGTTAGAAAAAATATTCCAAACTAGCTTCATTGTTTTTTTTTCTAGTTTTTGTGTAATCGGGAAACTGGTTTATAAAACTGTACAGCCTGCCTGTATTCTTCCATTAAACATTGAACTTTTTTCAAAGCAGATTGTTGTTTCTTGATGTACATGAAGATAATGTAAGCAGTTGAGGAAGTTGCTAAGAAGCGTGTACTGGGGATGCTCTAGGAAAAGACTGAATGCCGAGGCGAGTTCCAGTCCAAAGGTTCTTGATTTACCCAGAAGAAGGTGAACATCATGGATCAGAACAGCAGCCTGCCGCCTTATGCTCAGGGCCTGGCCTCCCCTCAGGTAATGCAGCCGGAGGGGGAGAGTAGATGGGGTAGAATCTGCATTATTAGAGCCGCTGTAAAAAGGAACCAAGGAATTTAACCATTTATTGTTGAAAATGGGTTTGTATGGTTTTATGTTTCTCTTCTTTTCTTGAGAAGTTCTATTAGGCTTTGAGTAGGCATGACAGTATTTAATTTTGGGAGTTAAAATATATATCTGTCTATAAATCTTAATCTTTCCGTAAATATTTATGAAATGTTGATTATCGGGTCTTTGATTTTGAAAGTAACTCTCACCAGGTTATATTCTGGTTTTATCTTTCTCTTTTATGCTTAAGTTTCCAAATAACATATCTACTATTTTTTTTTTTAAGATTTTATTTATTTATTTGAGAGAGAGAGGTGTGGGGAGGGAGAGGAAGAGAATCTCCAGCAGGCTCTGCACTGAGTCCAGAGCCCTATATTGGACTCTGGGCTTGGTGTGGAGTCTGCTTGGGATCTGCAGTCCCTCTTCCTCTACTCCTCCTACTTGTGCTTTCTAATAAATAAAAAAAATCTAAAAATAAAAAAATAGTCTATAAGTCAGAGAAAGACAATTACTCTATGATCTCACTCATATGTGGAATTTAAGAAACAAAACAGAGGGTCATAGGGGAAGGGAGGGAAAAATGAAATAAGGTGAAATCAGAGAGGGAGACAAGCCAAGAGATTCTTAACTCTAGGAAACACAGGGTTGCTAGAGGGGAGGTGGGTGGGGGTATTAAGGAGGGCATGTGATGTCATGAGCACTGTGTGTTGTATGCAAGTGATGAATCCCTAAACTCTGCCTCCAGAACTAATAATACACTGTATGTTAATTCACTGAATTTAAATAAGAGATTTTTAAACAAAAAATTAACCTTAGATATGATTTTCATAAAATGAAAATGTCTATTTTAAGTGTTTTGATAATTGTGTATGCAAAATACACATCTGATCTGCTGATCCACAGCTAAAGAGAGTTTTGCCTAGAATTTCATACAAATGGAATCGTATCAGGATGCGCTTTTGTGTGTGTCTGTTTTCTTTGCCCAATATAATGTCCGTATGTCTGCAGATTCCTTTTCATTGCCAAGTAGTACTCGGCTGTGTACCCGCTCTCCAGTTGCTGACACTCGGGGGGCTTCTAGGTCAGGCTGTTATGAATAAAGTTGCTGTAAACATTTGTGAACAGGCTTTGTGTATACAGTTTCTGTCTCTCTGGGGTCAACACTTGGGAGTGGGATTGCTGGGTCATATGGTAAGTGTATGTGTCACTTTACAAGAAAGCGTCAGACCATATTCTAGTTCCACCAGCAGCGTGTGAGAGTCCTGGTGGTTCCACATCCTCACTGACCCCTGAGGCCTTAACTTTTCACCATTCTGGTGGTTGCCTGGTAGTATGTTTTCATGATTTCAGTTTGCATTTTCTTGATGGCTAACAGTCTTGAGCATCTTATCAAGTGCTTATTGGCCCATTACATGCCTTCATTTGTAGAATGTCCTCCTCATCTTTTGCCCATTTGTTTATTGGATTGTTTGTCTATCTTTTATTGAAGTGTAATTGCTCTTCATGTGTTGTGGGTATGGGTTCTTTCTCAGGGGTAGGTACTGTAGATGTTTTCCCTCAGTCTGTGGTGTGGCTTACTTGTTAATTTTCTTAGTGATGTCTTTCAGAGAGGAGAAGCTATTACTTTTTTTTCTGAAGTCCATTTGCGTGTATGTCTGTGGTCCATTGTGTGTTCATTTGTATATGTGATGTAAAGAGGCAGATCTTTAAAAAACCTTAGTCTTTTCAAAGTAACGGAACCTGAATATTTTCTTGCCCGTATTTTCTAGACCTAAGTGTTAGATGCAATGTCTATACTGTTAGGGCTGCAGTACACGGTTGATCCTCCTCTCACATTCTTCCTTCCACTATGTTGGTTAAACAGTTCAATGTAAATATCTTAGACAGTTTTGGTTTGTATTTTGCCAGATAAAGTGGTAGAAGTGGGAAAGGGTTAGGCTGTCTTTTGGATCTTGCACCCATGTGAGAATCTAATGAAGACTATGGGTCCCTTCATGCCAAAATATTGGGTATAGTTTTAAGAGGTCCATGAAGTCACCACAAGCTCTGCAGGCCCTGTGGGCTCCATGGGTTTCGGTGTCTGGTTAGTGCATTGGACTGGATTTAGGAGAACGTAGCTGTGATTGTGGCTTCTTCCACTAGGGAGATCTGTGGTCTCAGGAAAGTCATTTAGCTTTGTCTCCTGGTGTCCGTTTTCTTTTCCTTAATGTGGGAAGAACAGCATCTGTTTCCCCTTTCCCAGAGTTAATAAATGTAACAGTGTCCGCAGAAGTTAAGCATTTGGAAAAATAAATTGATATTGTTCTGATAGACATATTGGATTTTCTCGATTTAAACTTTTTTGGAGAGCAAATGACCCACCTTTTTGTAGAGTATTCGATAATTGTCATTATTGTTGTTAACACTCCAGTGTTTTCTTTGTGTGTGTCATTGTGTTGAACTAGTTAAGAGGCATCTCTAGGGTAAGCACGTAATAATCATCCAGACTTGGACAGATCCCTTGGAAGTGAGCGGGGAACTAGCCAGGCAGTATACTAGGGTAACAGTTTAAACGCAGATGGGGAGTCACTCTAGTTGTTTCCTTTATTCTCTCTAACGGTATTAGAACATTATTATCCTGTGGAAATGCCTGAAGGGCTAAGCATCAGGTTTTCACATGTAGTAAGTCGCAGGGTTGGATTTCACACCTGGGTATGATCCCAAATACTAAGCTTTTACCTACTGCGTTATGGTGAAGAGGAAAGTGATATGTATAAGAACAGCAAATGCCTTTTTACTAAGGCATCATAACCCCATTGATACTCGAAGGCATCTGGCCTCGTACATCTCCCCTCCTCCTCTACTGCACAAGTGCCGGAAACACCCAATCCCAGCTGGCCTGACTGTACTGTTCTCCTGACTTTCCGCAGGGTGCCATGACTCCTGGAATCCCTATCTTCAGTCCGATGATGCCTTATGGCACAGGACTGACTCCACAGCCTATCCAGAACACCAACAGCCTTTCCCTCTTGGAGGAGCAGCAGAGGCAGCAGCAGCAGCAGCAGCAGGCCCAGCAGCAGCAGCAGCAGCAGGCCCAGCAGCAGGCCCAGCAGCAGGCCCAGCAGCAGCAGCAGCAGCAGGCAGTGGCCGCGGTTCAGCAGTCCACCTCCCAGCAGGCCGCCCAGGGGGCCTCGGGCCAGACACCACAGCTCTTCCACTCACAGACTCTTACCACTGCACCCTTGCCGGGCACCACTCCACTGTATCCCTCCCCCATGACCCCCATGACCCCCATTACCCCTGCCACACCAGCCTCTGAGAGCTCGGGGATCGTGCCGCAGCTGCAGTGAGTACTTTCTGTTGTGTCTTCTCCCTTACCCTAGAAGGCTCCCTTGACTGGGTGCTGCTGTTCCTTGTTTTCAGGTGGATTAGTTTGTTGAAGGATGTCCTGCCAGTGGTAATCATAGGCTAACATTTGCTCTCTCTCACATGAGAAAGGGATGCTAAGCTGCCTTCGTGAGTCAGTCCCTTCAGTGAAGGACTTGCATAACATCTTCAGACATTTGGTAGCTTGTGTTCATAATTTTGGGCCAAATACAGAAACAGAAGCTACCCAGTTGTTACAGACCTTTCCCTGTGGCTGATCTGGTGAATCAAGCCTTGTGTCGTGTCCTTCCCTTGTCAAGTTTTCCGTTTCTGGGAAGGGAAGATGAGTTACTTCGTTTTTGTTAGTTCATGGTGATCCTTGTTTGTCTTCATTAGTTATTATGAGGGCTGCATATAACTCTTTGGAAAGCCGTGTCCTTTCCACGAGCTGAGGATGTCTTTTCTTGTCCTGAATGGACTTTTCTACATAAATGAAATGGGTTCTCTATGTAACCGAATTGGGTGTGGGGTAGGTGGGAGTAGGAAAAAAAATTATGAAAAACATATAAATATTTTCATGTATCTGTCAATGAGAAGTATATAGCTTTTGCTTTTGGGAAACTTACTGCCGAACTGAAGGGTCATTTGCAATAACGACATTATCTAGTTTTCTTGTAAGCCATCTCTGGTCATTTTTAGAACTAAGTAATGTTTACTTATGGGTCCTGTTATCCAGATCTTGCCTCGGGTGTTTGACCTGACATAGTTTTAAAAATCAGACACTTTGCATTTTACTGATTTAGAGAGATAATCACTTGTGAATTCACCTTTGTCAACACCACTCCCTGTTGTCGTGCATACTTGTTTGGGTCTTGTGGGCATTTAAGTTTGCACCTCTTGTTTAAATCAAATTATAACTAGTTGTGATGGGGGTATTTGTTTCTTGCCGGCACCTTAAACTTTCTGATACTCTACAGAGCATCTAGTCAGCCACATTACTGAGTTTCCTTATCAGCTAAGAGCCCTTCTGGGTGGGAATTCAATGGCTTCTAAATCTTAGAGGCTTATGAAGAATTGGGGTAAATAATTAATGAATATATAAGAATATGTTTTTAAGGGGAGCCTGGCTGGCTCAGTTGGAAGAACATGTGACTCTTGACCTCAGGGTTGTGAGTTTGAGCCTGTGTTGGGTATAGAGATTATTTAAATAAATAAACTTAGAAAAGAAAAGAAAGGAAAGGATTCTGAGGGGGATGGTAAAGCAGGAGAAAAGCCCTGGACCACATGGCTTTGGGGAATTCTTGCAGACACTTAAAGAAGAACTAACACCAATCCTTCCCAAACTTCTCCAAAAAAATTGAGGAGGGAGTGCCTCCTAACTCATTCAGTGAATCCAGCACTGTGCTGACACCAAAGCCAAAGACACTGTAAAAAAAAAAAATCTACAGACGAGTATCTCCATGATCATTGATGGAGAAGTCCTCAACAAAATGCTAGGAAACATCATTAAGCAGCGTATTATATACACCATGAGCAAGTGGGATTTTTATTCTTAGAATGCAAGGGTGGGTCAGCATACAAAAATCAACCAGTGTAATACTCCAGAACAATGAAATGAAGAAAAGTGATCATCTCAGTTGATGCAGAAAAAGAACGGACAAAATTCAACGTCCTTTCATGATAAGAACAGTCAACAAAATAGGAAAAGATGGAAACTATCTTAACTTAGTAAAATCCATATGTAAAAAGTCACAGCAAGCCTAATACTCAATGTTGAAAGACTTAATGCTTTTCTTGTAAGATCAGGAATAAGGCACTTATATTCAGCAGATTACTGGAAGTTCTAGTCGGAGCAGTCCTAAGAAATGCAAGGCATCCAGAGTAGAAAGGAAGGAGTAAAGTTATCTTTTTGCAGATGTTATGATCTTACACATAGAAAATCATAAAGATTCCACAAAAAAGTATTCGATATAATAAGTGAATTTATTGAGAAAAGTGGCAAGATACAGAGTTAACACTCAAGAGTCAGCTGCATTTCTGTACACAGTGAGCAATATAAAAAGGAAATTAATCAATTCCATGAACAACATGATCAAAAAGAAGAAAATACTCAGGGATTAGGTTAACCAAGGATGTGAAAGACCTATGATGAGAACTATAAAACATTGCTGAATTAAGACCTGAATAAGTGGGAAGACATCTCATGTTCATAGATTGGAAGATTTTATATTGTCAAAAGCTTAATATTACCCAAAATAATCTATGTATTCAAGTGCTGTCCCTATCAAAATCCCAATGATATTTTTTGCAGAAATAGAAAAACTCAGGCTGAAATTCATATGGAATCCCAAGGGACCCTGAATAACCAAAACAATGCTGAAAAAGAAGAACAGCCTGGAACGCTGACGCTTCCTGATTTCAGAACTTACCACAAAGTTACAGTGATCAAAACAGCATGGTATTGGCATAGACACAGACATTTAGACCAATGCAGTAGAACAGAGAACCCAGAAATAACCCTTGCATATATGGTCAAATGGTTTTTGTCAAGGGTGCCAAGACTGTTCAATAGAGAAGATAGTCTTTGCAACAAATGGTGCTGGGACAACTGGATATCCACATGCACAAGAATGAAGTTGGGCCCTTAACTAACACCACATTCAAAAACTAACTCGAAATGGCCTTTCTGGCGGCAACCTCCCCATAAGAACATGCCTGTCATGACGGACCTCCTTTACTCGACCCCAGAAGAGGAGAAGAGGAAGTACAAGAAGAAGTGCCTGGTGCAGAGCCCCAGCTCCTACTTCATGGACATGAAGTACCTGGGATGCTACAGAATCACCGCTGTCTTTAGTCACCCGTAAATGGTAGCTTTGTGTGTCAGCTGCTCCACTGTCCTCTGTCAGCCCACAGGAGGAAAAGCCTTCCTTTAGGCGGAAGCAGCTCTAAAAGCACCATGAATCAAGATGACAGGATCTTGGATATAAAAAACAAACAAAAAAACTAAAAGTAGATCAAAGACTTCAGTGTAAGACTCAGAACAATAAAACTCTGAAGAAAACGTAGGACAAAGGCTTCATGACATTGGATTTGGCAGTATTTTCTTGGATGTGACTCCAAAGGCAGAGATAACAACAGAAAAAAATAGATAAATTGGACTGCATGAAAATTTTGAACACTTGTGTATCAAAAGACACTGTTCACAGAGTAAAAATGCAAACCACAAGGTGGGAGAAAATGCTTGCAAATTGTGTATCTGATAATGATTATTATCCAGATATTTAGAGAACTAAAAACCCAACAACAAAAAACCATAGAGCCTGATTGCAAAATGGGCAAAGGACTGGAATAAACATTTCTCCAAAGAAAATTCGTGAATGGCCAATAAGCACATGAAAGGGTGCTTGAGGTCGCTAAACATTGTTTATGTAAATGCAGATCAAAACTGCAGTGAGATACCACCTCCTACCCGTTAGGATGGCTACTGTCAAAAACAACATAGCAAGTGTTGGGGATATGGAGAAGTTTGACCCTTATGCACTGCTGTTGGTTAAAAAAAAAGAAAAAATAAGAATACGTGTAGCAGTTGTATGACTTAATTTGTGGTAGATGCCCCACTACCTGCTTGATTCCGTTTGTAAGGAGAGAAATGTCAAAGGTAGGTGTGCATATAAAGTTGATTGGAAGGAAACAGATGATGTAGAAATGAAAACATTCATTGGATTGATCATTCTAATTGCTCTTAACAATTGTGTATTAAGGTACCCAGCTGTCCTCTTACCCAACCAAATTGTAAGCCATCAGGTTTTCAGAGTATTGCATTTTGACAGGACAGGAAAAGAATCAAAAGCAGCAATGAGCTAGAAACAACTGGAGGTGCATTTGCCGTCTGGAATCAGTATTCACGGGATGGTGATGCTCCTCCTCAGCGCATGATGGTTTAAGGGCAATTAGTTTCATTCAAAGGGCTCATCAGGGCTTCATTCAGAAGGCTAAGGCATGGCTCTAGGGATAGATGAGCGCAAATCCTGACTTACCTGGCACAAGGTAACTGCCCCATTTAAGCCTCTGCGTCTTCCTCTGAAAATGTGAGTATTAATAGTTACTACTTGCTAGTGCATTGTAAGTATTAAGTGGGTAACTATGTAAGATGCTGACCGTGGTGTGTGGTAAACACTTAATAAATGTCAACAATTTAAAGAAATACACTTAATATAATTAAATTTGTTGTAGTAAAAGAATCAGATTTCTAGATAATTATCTAACATCTCAACCTGTAAAAGTTAAATAAATGATCATGTTTTCTTTTCAAATTTCTTGCAGAAATATCGTATCCACCGTGAATCTTGGCTGTAAGCTTGACCTAAAGACCATTGCACTTCGTGCCCGAAATGCTGAATATAATCCCAAGGTCAGAGCGATTTTAATGTATTTTAAACTGTAATAATACAGGAATTTACTGTTAAAGGTCCCTAGTCCAAAATGTTTGTGTTATGCCTATGTTTGTTGGTACCAACAAAATGAGGAATTATAGCAAAATGCGTATTTTTTAAAATTTTTTTATTGAAGAGCCACCATGTGAGAGACCCTAGAGTAATAGCAGTCTACATGTTAAACTACTAAAATTTGTTTACGTGTTATGATGGGGATCCCGTGACATTAAAGAACAAAATATGTAGTGTGATTGCATTTATGTTTTGAGATCTGTGTAGAATGGAATGATAGGCTTTCTGGAATCTACTTCAAAATAATCCAGTTGGAGAATTGGGGAAGGGCATTTGGATGAAACAGGGTTGGCCAGAAGTTAATAATTTTCAGAATTGGATGGTAAGTACAAGGGAGTTCATTACATTTTTCTAAATTTGTATAACTTTTAAACTTTTTATAGTAAAAAGATTGTGGGATAACATACCTATAAGATTTTTGTTGTTAAGGTAGCAGCCTGAGTACATGGTAAGACTCTGCATTAGTAGATAAGCTGTTTTTTTGTTTTTTGTTATTTTAAATAGTACAGGGGCGCCTGGGTGGCTCAGTGGGTTAAAGCCTCTGCCTTCGGCTCAGGTCATGATCCCAGGGTCCTGGGATCGGGCCCCGCATCGGGCTCTCTGCTCAGCGGGGAGCCTGCTTCCTCCTCTCTCTCTGCTGCCTGCCTCTCTGCCTACTTGTGATCTCTGTCTGTCAAATAAATAAATAAAATCTTAAAAAAAAAATAGTACCTATTTGCATTCACAGACGAGTGGACATTCTTTGAGGACCAGAGCAGACAGGTGAGGTGTTTGAATGTGGAAGATGATCAGATTGAAGGCTTCTGGGACAGGGCCCAGCAGAACACAGTTCCCCCAAAGTTGAGAACATCTATTCTTAGCATGCTATTTACTTTCTTACCTGGGAAGCTGGTATTAGATTTATTTTGTCAAAGAGTAAGGTTTTATATAAGAAAAAGAAAAGTAGGCAGAAAGAAAAACTTGAGAATTTAACTGAATTATATGTGGCTGTGTAATGTGTGTCATTGTCTGGTTTGTGCCTCTCGTTTTTGCCAGGTGAGCACCATTTCCTTTACTGATGTCTCCCGTGTTCCCGCTTTGGTTAAATTCCCAGTCTGGGTTGCCTGTGAGGCTTTTACTCTTTGTCTCATGTGGCATTATTTGAACGTCACCTTGAAAAGAGTGGCCAAGTGGCAGCCTTCGAGCACCTGGATACTTGACAGTGGAAGAGTAGTAAAGGATAAGAAGCATCTTAAGTCTTCTAAGAAATAAATGGATTTCACTTCATATATCCAGGTTTTGTTTTGTTTGTTTTGTTTTAGTTTTCTGATGCCTAACCGAAGAATTACCTCCCAAGGATCAGTTGGGTCAGTTTTAGGAACGAAGTCTTTTTATCTCAAGTGATTGATTGTTCTGCGTCCCCCCGCCCACCCCCAGTATTTATCCACTTACTAGCAGTTGTACCAGTACTTCCTGGCTGGCCGGTAAATAGTTGAGGACAGTGTCATTAGCCGGCTCTGTTTTAGCCCATGAATTTGTGATTGTTGGGGCAGTGGTTTCATGTGTTTTTGAGCCACAATCCAGGAACTCCTGTCTTAGTTCAGGAACTCCGCAGACAGGGTAGAAATCTCATACACAAAGTGAAATCATGTTCTCATACCGTTTTGGAAACAGCACAGAATGATGAAAACCAAGGGGAAGAAGTGAGAGAAAGAAAAGGCAGTAAATACACAAAGTCTGTTGTGCTGTCCTTGGTTCAGAGAGGTCTTGGGAGGAAGCTGTATTTTCGGGAGTCATCACTTTCTGGAGGCCTTTGAGTAGATTTGGGGTTAGTGTTCAGGCAGAACCCACAGTCATTTGGATTCTGAGTACATGCAAGCTGGGGCAGGTGTCCATGCTTCTAATCCTGATGCTTGAGAAGTGTTTCAGGGAGGAGAGCCTGAAACGCTTTCATCTAGGCAGTTTGAAGCCGACTTCCCCCGATGTCTCTTTCGTGTCTCCGTCTGCTCCCTGTGTGCGGTGAGGTTTCCTCTGGAAGTGTAGCTGACCCAGAGCGGGTACATGACTCTCTATATGACATTGGTTTGACCAGTAGAGGTTTCCCGTGCTATCCAGAAGTTTGCATTAAGTCCCTTTGCTTTTATGAAAGATGTACCTTAGTACCTGTTTTTGCTAACAGAAAGACATCTGAGGAGAATTTTTGTTTTTACAAAACGGTAATTGTTTCCTCACTTTACTCCATTTCAGCTTACAAAAGGCTTCACAGGAATACTCCACTTTCCAGTAGCAGAGGAGGCCTGTGCTTGACAAGACCAACAGAGAGAAAATTAGTGGACCGTTAGTGGGGGCCAGGCCAGTTTTCCTAGGTCTTTCAGGAACAGCGTCATAGGATAAGAACTTGGGGGGACTTTGAGGTGTAACTCACCTTGTCATTAGGGCTGAGACTTTAGGCCAAAGAAAATAAAACTTTTTGGAAATGTGGACTGTTTTAGCCTTGGCCTTTTAACAAAGGAAAGCTTCAGTCAGTGGGAGAACTACGTACACACTATGATTAAGCGTATCTGAAGTTTTTGGTTTGGCTACTAGATCACATCTAAGTGAGAGTTCAGAGTTTTGCCCTCTATAACAGTTTTTCTTGGCTTGTGAAGTATCCTTGTGAACTTCTCAAGTTAAGTAGCCTCACCAATATGTTTGTAAAGTTTGAATCAATGTACATATTTGTCTCTGTCTTCTTGGTGGCTTTTTGTTTGTATGCATACATGTGTGTGCTACGTGCCTAAGTATCAAAATTTGAAGATGATTTTGAGTGGAACCAAGCCATTTTGAGATATTTAAATAAAACAGAGAAATACAATGACTAAGTTTCTGCCTCCCTTCTCAACTTGAAAATCTATATATTATTGTGTTGTCAGTGGTGGCTAACCCTAGTAAGAACTGCTGTTTGATAAGTTAGCGACGCCTCTTTCCCTAGAGTACGGTGTACTCTTAAAATTGATATTTCCTTCAGAAGTCTGATTTTTCTAATAAGTCACTAATTTATGTTTAATGTTTTAATTGGAGATATCCAGAGAAGATAGAAAACTCTTATTTTGCTCATGACATAAACCTAGATCTTATTAACTATTAATATTTACTCATGAACCTCTAGTAAGACAATTATTTTAGTAGAAAGAGCTGTTGTAACTGTATTTTATAATAATATTTAGAAGTTAAACTATATCAGTATAAAGTATACCTTGATTATGTTAAATATATGAATCATTACTTAATGACTCATTTTAGGGTGTATCCCCAGAGCAAAACAGTCAGAATGAGGCAGGTTTAGATATATTTTGATAGTTTATGAAAATAGTTTATTTTTCTTTTTTAAGGGAAGGGAAGTAAGTAGCTGGGTTTAGAGTCGAGCATTGTTTCACAGTTACATAGGAAGCAGACAAAGCCATACAGAAGTGTAGGGGAATGTTTGTCAGTGATAGCAGATAGCTAAGTTGGATGAGCTGTGGGTTGAGAAAAATGTTAAGTAATGATCTTGGAGCAAGTGTCTAAATCTCTAAAATATAACCTTGCCTTTTATATACAAGTGAGGAAGATGCAGCTTAGGTAGAAAGGTCCAAAATAAAAATTGCTGTCACAACTGGCTAAGAACAAAAATGGCTCATTTAACTGTTGAGACTTTGGTCAGCTTGGTTGAGCTAATTAAAATATGGAGAATATCAAATATGGCCTGTTGTTTCAGAGCCCCTTTTTATGGTATGAGAATAAACCTTTACGGTTACCTAATGGCCATTTAGGAAACCACAAAGATACTTGGATCCAAGAAGAAGAAGAAAAAGTTCTTCTTCTTCTTTTTTTTTTTTTAATACTTAGAGTAAGAATCTAAGGAGAAAAAGGAAAAGTCAGAACTGTTTAGCTTTTTTCATCATTTAAACCATTTTACCTTTTACTTTGAAATGTAATATCAGCATATTAAGTAAAATACATAATGTTGAATTTGTGATATTAAAAACTGTAACAATTTCCTTAGTAAGAAGGTACAATATATACTTATTACCTGTTGTGTCTGGTATAGTCTTTACCATTTATATTAGTTACTACTTTTAGCCAAAGCAATCAAGTGTTGTTGCTTACGGATGCAAGGAAAATTAGAAGGTAGATGACCAAGAAATGTCTTGCTGTCTCTCCATCAGAGCACGATATATATTCGTTCTCTAATTGTTTAAAATGGTAAACATGTATATCAACATTATCCTTCCACCAAGAAAGTGAATGGTTATTATATCGAATATTAAAAAGAAAGTAAATACCATAAAAACTTTATTGACCAGTGTTTTTATCTTTATCTTAAGAAATTATCTAAATATTAAAAATTTTTTAAGTATTTGTCCAAGATCCCAGGGTAACTAACATCTGGAAGTAACTGTTTATCCATCGTGGCAAGCCTGTATCATGTGTAGCATTAGAATAATTAATCTTTTATCATTTTATTTACTTTGAATATGTAATTTTACAGTTTTATAGTCTCCAGTGAATTGATACTGTTTGATCAAGAAAACCAGTAGAGGGAATTTAAGAAGTGCTAAATGATGAGGCTTTTCCTGGGACTTGTATAAACTAGAATATAGTGCTAGTATTTTTGCATGATGGTGAAATCTGAGGGAGGACCACAGGTTTTTTTTTTTTTTTTTTTTTAAGATTTTATTTATTTATTTGGCAGAGAGAGATCACAAGCAGGCAGAGAGGCAGGCAGAGAGAGAGAGAGAGAGGAGGAAGCAGGCTCCCCGCTGAGCAGAGAGCGGGACTCGATCCCAGGACCCTGAGATCATGACCTGAGCCAAAGGCAGAGGCTTAACCCACTGAGCCACCCAGGCGCCCCAGGGGACCACAGTTTTAAACTAAAATTGCTAAAGCCGTCTAATTTGTTGAAGAGTCATCTTGATTAGAAATGAATTTTTCTTTACCAGATATTAAAATTTTTAGTTATTTGAAAGCTATTTTTTGCTTTTTATCATGTAAGCTAGTATTGTAGGCCATTAATTCAATCCATGGCTGAAGTATGTTCCCCTTGAGTTATAATGTTAGCAATAAAAACATTGTTAAAACTTAAAAAGTAGAAATAAAGATAAAAACTTTGATTTTTTTCTTAATTTGGAATTTTGTAAGTGTTAATACTTTAATACTGTTTCAAAAGCCAGTTGGAAACAGAAGGTCATTTCAGTACATCTTGGTATGTTTGTAATCTAATTTTATTCCCACTCTGGAGGTAGAGAAGGTTTATCAGTCTACCTGCCAAAAAAATCATTAATAAAACAGAGAAGTTACAATTCTAGAGGCTAGCAAATACAAGGTAGGAAGAAGTACTGGTATTTATTAAGGATGTAATAAAGTAAAACGTTTTGCAAATATTACTTCTTTTCTTTAATTGGGGGTGTAGAGCGAGAGGGAGAGAACAGTTCCCAGGCAGGCTCCACGCCCAGCCCGAAGCCTGACTTGGGGCTCTGTCCCACAACCCCCCTGAGATTACTACCTGAGCTGAAACTAAGAGCTGGTTGCTTTACTGCCTGCGTCACAGGCACCCCACAAATGCTACTTCTTGTTGGGATGTCTGTGAAAGAATGCGCAGACCTTGGCTCGCCTTACTTAGTAGTCACCGTTCATTCTGCTCCCTGTGCAAAAAGCATGCGTGATGCTGTGAGGGAAGCCTGTGTGGGAACACGTGTCAGACCTTACGAGAACTCCGTCTGTGACTCTGTATGTGTATTTGTCATTGTTCTTCTAAAGGAAATCAGCAGTTGGGCATGACCTCATTGACGGTTGTCTCTGACCCTTTTAGCGATTTGCTGCTGTAATCATGAGAATAAGAGAGCCCCGAACCACTGCACTGATATTCAGTTCTGGGAAGATGGTGTGCACAGGAGCCAAGAGGTAGGGTTAAGGAGTTCCTTCTCCTGGTCATATGTTACCATGATTATCCAGTTGCATTTTATGTATATTTGATAAAATGTAACATCCAAGCTATGACTAAGGATTCCTGTACGTGAAAAATTTTATATATAGCACAGATTCATCCCCAAGTGAAAAAAAAAATGGGTCAGGAACCACAAAATCTCAGAGCTGATGCTGTGAGGGAGTCCAGATGGGCTGGGTCCTGGCAGCGGGACAGCCCCTTGTGCGTTGGCCACAGAGCCCTGCTGCCCCTTGTTACAGGCCGTCGGCCTCAGGAGGGTGGGGTTGTGCGGGTCCTAACGAGTGTCCCCTTTCCGGACAAGCGTTGTTGCCTGTGCTCTTCACCTGTCCGGAGTGATCCTGTCTGGGAAGGTTAATGCTTTGGGCCTTGACTCTAAGCCTTATGGAGCAGATGCCGTGTAACTGGTGGAAGGCAGTGGTTGGGGGAGGAGTAGATACAACAGCTTCGTAAAGCTTGAGCAAATGAAGTAAACTAAACTTCTGAAGTAAAAGATAATTCCTGTGCCTTGGAGTTGTCCACACGCAGAGGGGACTGTGGATGCCTTTGCTTATTTGGTGAAGGGAAGGCTGCTGCTGCGGATGTTGTAGTTCCTGGTCTCTGAGTTTTTTCAGAAGCCAAGATGCGGGTCTATCCCTCGCTTTCACGGAAGTCTTCAATTAGGAGACTTGTTTCCCCTGGATGGAGCTTCGAAAACTTCTGGTTTATCAATCAATTCTAGGCAGTTTTTCTTTCCCAGACATGCTTTTCATGTGCACTGTTCAGCCTTCTTTATCCCCTTGCTACATGCTGAATAGTGTGTGTCTAGTTTATTTTAGTGAAATCGGAAACTGCAAATTTATTTTCCTCAAGGAAAAAAAAAGCATTGCATATATGTGTGCTGAATTTTTGTCATTCCTGTGACCCCTGCACTTGAGGGTCTTTTGCTCATAATGGTGTTACTGCTTTTATTTTGCTTTTCTTACGTAAGCTCTCTATTACTAAGCCGTAGTTTTATCCAACTGATGAGTAGTAAGAATGGATAATGAGAGGTTTGACATAAAAGAGGATAGAATTAGTGTATGCAGTCGTCACGTACAAATTGCATCAGAGATGAGGATTTCCTGTCAGAATGAAGTTGTTAATTTTCATCTCAGGGTTGTGGGGTAAAATATAGGAATATTAATGATAGTGGTGGAGATGTGATGCTCTACTTTTATAAAACCTGGGCGTATCAGTAATTTGGTGTAAGCCTGCAATTTTCTGTCAAGGACATAGGAGTACTTTATAATAAAATAGTTAATGTCTTCTGTTATTTTCTCTTACTGGGGGAGGGTGCCGTTTTTCACTTTATTAAAAAATAAGCTTTTCTAGTTTGGACTTTTTATCAGTTATTCATGTAAGTAATTATTTTTTGTGGCTTTGACTAGGACTATCTCACTTCTTCCTTTCCCTAGTGAAGAACAGTCCAGACTAGCAGCGAGGAAATATGCCAGAGTTGTACAGAAGTTAGGTTTTCCAGCCAAGTTCTTGGACTTCAAGATTCAGAACATGGTGGGGAGCTGTGATGTGAAGTTCCCGATAAGGCTAGAAGGCCTCGTGCTGACCCACCAGCAGTTTAGCAGGTGAGCCTGAAACGTACTGCCTGTGGCAGCAGTCCGTTCGTAATCTGTGTAAACACTGTTCACGGTAAAACGCGCAGCACAGACAGTACGTAAGCGCAAATGATGTAGTGACAAATGTATTTAATGTTGAGGTTTTTTCCTTATGTCTTGGAAAATGTGTTATTCTCACTATTCTCCTGCTTCCCGTTTCACTTATTAACATCTATTATTCTCCTTGACTGGGATGAAATTGATTCCCTGTTATTTTATTGCTCAATCAATGCATTTGAAATGCATTAATTAAATCTGTAATCTCTTCTGTCAATTTTTATCCCCAGTTTTTTTTTATTTCTTCTGCTGAACATTATATGAGCTCTACCAGCAAAGTGTACACTTGAGTGAAATGAATATTCTTTCCTCTTATTTTCCCTGCCACTTACAAGGCCACTGCCCACCTTTCCAGCCTCTCTGCTCCCTGCGCCCCTCAGACTCGCCCTGCTCCTCTTGGACAGAGGCTTTTGTTTATCAGTTTTATACCTGGCACCCTCTTGTTGCACTTTCCACCTAGGAAACGTCTCACATTTCAGATGTCCTCCCAAGTGTACCTTCCTCAGGGAAGCCTGTTCTGCATTTCCACTAGGTTAATCACACGTTATAACTGGTTCAGTCTGTCTGAACTGGGAAAATGAGGCTGCTGGGGTTCGAATCCGACATGCCACTCATGACCCTTGGTAAGGTAGACACTGCAGAGCATAAAACTGAAGGTTTCATTTTCACTTACATCAGAAAATCCAGACTCATTAGAGTTAGGTCTTCAAGTGCTGATGACAGATTGCCCTTACTGCCCTTAAGTTCTCTCTCCTTTGGGTTCACCTCCCAGTGAGTTTGTGGCTTAGTCAGTATTTTCCCTGTGCTGGTCCTCATTTTGCCCTAAAGCACGGACAGCTTTTAATTTCTAAACTGTTTTTTGCCATTTTCCTCCTAGTTACGAGCCAGAGTTATTTCCTGGTTTAATCTACAGAATGATCAAACCCAGAATTGTTCTTCTTATTTTTGTTTCTGGAAAAGTTGTATTAACAGGTAAGTTGTAACAGAAAGTAGTGTCTGAAGGTTTGAAAGAATTTCAAGAACAGCATTTTCTCAGTGCTGAGAAGAAGTTTCACAGATTGGGGACAGGTGGCTAGCAAGTGGTACAGACGGATGCCTTTGCCCCTTTGTTCTCCTCCACCCTAACAGTCTGATGAGAAACATATCCGCCAGGGCAAGGGAGAGCAGGGAAAGTAGACCACAGCAAGACCTGTAGTGGGGAGAGCAGGGAAGGTAGCCATTACATCGGTTAAGAGATGACATTTTAAGTTGGAAACCCTCCAGTAGAACTTTGAGATTCATCAGCAATGCCATTTGGAGACAACAGGCGAAGGTTCAGGAGAGTTTGCTTGAAGGCAGCAAATGGGAGAATAAGGCTTGGTCATTCCTTCTGCGCGCTTGGGTCACAAGCTGCTCAGGTCACGTGCTGATGCAGGGACTGACACTGGTCACATGTGAACTGCTGAAGGAAGCTGCAGCCATCCAGGGCACAGTTTTTAACAGTTTTAAAAATCCATTTTAGGAATACAATACTCTAGAAACAAAAACAGCCTTGTGACAAGGGATTCCCTCATGAATGTTTTAGTGTCTGTGTCTAACTGGTAATGGAGAGAATTGTGCTTGTAGTTTTAAAGTAATTTTACCTCTTTAACGTGTTAAGAAAAGCTTTTTCCGACTCTCTTCTCCAACTTGTCTTCATAGGTGCTAAAGTCAGAGCGGAAATTTATGAAGCATTTGAAAATATCTACCCTATTCTAAAGGGTTTCAGGAAGACGACATAATGGCTGTTATGTACTCCTGCCTCTGCACCCACTTGTTTTTAAAACAAATCCGTTTGGTACATGTAAATGGTGGTGTTGCGGACGGCCCCGGTTTGGTAAGGTGATGTTCTGTGGGTGGCAGCACCGTGAAGCCCTCCAGCACGCGTTCCTGGCGGGGTTGCCGAGAAGCGGTCTCCCTTCTGCAGAGAGAACGCCGCAGCGTTCTGTAAGTTGCTCGTACTGTGCTGCTGTTGGGCAGCGCTGCCCGTTTATTTATATGTAGATTTTAACACGCGCCGCTGTCAGCACGTTGGTTTGAGGCACAAAACTTCCAGTGTTAGAGCCACCACTTCTGCAATTGATTGGACTTTTTCTTTTGTTTAATTTCCTCCCCATAAACCACAGTTTTTATATTTCTACCAGAAAAGTAAAAATCTTTTTTAAAAGTGTTGTTTTTCTAATTCGTGACTCCTAGGGGTTATTTTTGTGCCAGACACATTCCGCCTTCTCAGTATTGCAGGCCAGAGGAGCCGCGTTAGCGCGGACGGCTGCGCGCATCTCTCTTCCTTCAGAGTGCTCTGTACAATAAATGCTGTTTATAAGAGTGTTCGATTGATGTCATAAATGATACCTTGTAAGATTTGTGTGATCATACTGTTCAAGTTGTATTTTAGATATAATTGCCTGAAACCATTTCAGTGTGTGCGTGCTTGTTTCGATGAACATTTCATGGTGTGTCCAGTGATAATGGATGAGCGACCTGAAAATTTAAGATTGCTCACGAAACATGGGTTTCTTATGTTCCATATATCGAGCACCTCCTGTTTCCCAGATACATTCATTGCCTGTAATTCTCACAAAACCTGTAATTTGGTTTTGTCCTCTTTCTCAGGTGAGCAAATGCTGGCCTCGGCTGTGGTATTTGCCCCTCGGCCAGAGAGTCCTTCAGTATGAAAGCTGGGCTCTGTGTACAGCCTGGTGAGGTGTTTTTCTCATGAATATTACCTGGAAATTTGTAAGTTCTTGGGTTTTATTGTTTGGGTTAATTTGTCACAGTGTACTTTCAAGCAGTTCAGAGGCATGCAGTCAGAAAGGAGGAGTTCTTTCCTTCTCTCCCTTTTGCTTATTTAGTTCCCCAGGTATCTCCCAAGCCCCCTTCTGTGCAGATTCTTTCCTTTTGGTCCCGTGTTTAGATCATACTAAAGCATTTGTTGTTTTATAGCTTTGCTGTTTTTCATTCAGTATGTCGTGGAGTCTGATAGCATCACAGATGTACAACACCCTCGCCCACGTACCTTTACGTATTTACCTGTTTCCTTCCTTATGGGCAGTGTTGGAGCATCATAAATAGTGCGGTAGGGAGCACCCTTGCATGCCTGTTTGTGGTTCAGAGCAGACATTTCTGTAGTGAACATGCCTAGGAGAGGAGCCACTGCCGTCCATCAATCCGATATCCTCTCCTTCCATGCAAGAAAGATTTTTCCACATAATAGGTCTTCTCTTAGGTTCTTTAGTCAAGTTTTGTAATTTTTTCATAGAGGGCTTCTATATTTCATAAAAGTAATTCCTAAGTATTTTCTGGCCCTGTTATTAATGTAATTTTTTATTACTTTTCAATTCCTGTTGACATATTTATCTTATTCCCAATCACTTTACTGGATTCTGAAGCTTTTCCCTGTGAAACAGCACACACAGACCTAACAGAACAAGTATTTAGCATAGCGTATTACTCAGTAGACATCCCTCCAGCCACCACTCAGAACCTTGCCCGTGTCCCAGGGGCCCCTCCTGTTCCAGTCCAGCCACAACCCCCCTCTCCCCCGCCCACCAATAACCATTAATCTTGAGTTTTATAGTCATTACCTAAATTACTATGAGGTGATCTTCCATTTAAAAAGAAATGGATGCTTTTCTGTCTGTTTTATTTCTTATAGTCCTGTTCCCTATCTTTTCCTTTATTTTTTTTAAGATTTTATTTATTTGACAGACAGAGATCACAAGCAGGCAGAGAGGCAGGCAGAGAGAGAGGAGGAAGCAGGCTCCCCACCGAGCAGAGAGCCCAATGTGGGGCTCAATCCCAGGACCCCGGGATTATGACCTGAGCCGAAGGCAGAGGCTTTAACCCACTGAGCCACCCAGGTGCCCCTCCCTATCTTTTCCTTAAAATGTACAGCCAAATTTACAGCTGGTAGTTTCTTACAGTAGGTGTTTTGCTATTTTCAAACACATGGTGTAGTTCAGCGTATTCCTGCGTTCGATTTTCTGCAGATGAGCGGCTACATCCAGAGGCTTGGTCCATCTGTAAAGACTATGTAAGTGGCATGCTCTGTTAGGAATCCAGTGCCCGGTTGTCTGTCTTCTCATTAATCTGTGAATTTGTTAGTGGGTTGCAAATGATGAAATTCTCCTTATTTTCTAGTCGTTCATGGAATACTTTTTATAAAGTGATACATTTCATATAGCAGGATAAATGATTGCTTCTTTCCCTTTGAAAGTTTTTGAGGTAAAATACCTGAGTTCATATTGATGTGTCCAATTCAAATTCAGGACTACGGAAGTTTCATTTAATCACACGTTTTTTACACTGAGAATCCTTAACTTTTTAAAGAGCATGGACAGAAGAGTTAGGGAATCCCACAGTCACTTACTTCACCTTACATTATACACGCAGTCGTCTCAGATCAAACCACCACCAAGGTGATTATCAAAAGCACTTACACATACTTATTTTGCTGTGATCTCTGAATTGTCAGGGGATGACGAGACCAGCATTCAGTATCTGCACTGAAAGGACAGGTCAGTGTATCGCTCTCTTGGTACAGGTGAGCAGCTGGGTCAGGCAGCATCTGAGCCAAACAGAAGTTTTGGGGGACAGTGGAATATGTGGATCAGCGATAGTGAAGGACATCCTTCACAGGAACTTACTGGGTGAGATGTGATCGTTTTAGTGTTTTTCAATGCATCTTGACATTTCTAGAAGTAACTGAATTGCTCGGTGTTTTTATGTAAATTTTTGGTTTTAGGTTATTTTTTTTTGGTGTTATTTTGCATATGATGGCCATCCTTTAACATGGATGCTAGCTGGCACTGTGACTTTTTCTTTCTGTTGATTTGGACTAGTCTGTAAGCAGAAAGACCCTGTGAACCCTCACCCTAATTGCCAGAACGTGGTAGGGGTACACACCTCAAGAACAGCTTGGCTGGTTATTGCCAACATGCCTGTGAGAATGTCCACAGTCATCTAGTGAGGTCTCCAGACAGACCCTAATGGATTTTGTTCAAGTCCTTGGCAGTCAGGGCACTATTCTGCTTTGGGAAACTCACTATAGATCGCAGTGCGAAGACCCCCCACTAGCCATGTTTTCCAGAAGCCACTGAGCTTCCCACCAAGTGTTGATTCTCGCCACCAGTTGATGACAACTTGTAATGTGTCCTCCAGTAGCCACTGGCTCTATCACTGTATCTGGGATTCTCAGACTTTGCTCTCCCAGCTTGAAAACTGTGACACCATCCTCCCTCTTTACAGCCCAGTAACAGATCTCCCCGTCGTAAGTCGATACTTCGGTTTCTCATATGGAGTGATTTCCCTGTATTTCACACACACGTTTATGAACTGTATGTATATAGGTTTAACAAGGACGTGGACTAATAGACCAGGACTTCTCGTACAAAAGTGTAGTGACATTAACTAATGGTGACCTTTAACAAAATGATGCACTTGCGGCTAGATTAGCTATTGGTTTTCCAGCGCTGATCAGCAGCAGCGTCCCTTCGGGGTTGCTTTAGAGCTGGGCAGGCATCACTGGTGCTCAAAGAACTGGACGGTCACAGCATAATTGTGAAACCCGAGGGGCTGGAAGGAGCCTTAGCACAGTCAACAGATTTAGCCAACCTCCGGGCCAGATTTCCCTAGTTCCTGCCTCCTCACTGAGATTTATTCCCCGTGTGTACACTGGCATGAGAGGGTGGGGGGAGGGGAGAAAGGCAGTCATTCTCTCTCGCCTTGCATCTCCTGTCTGTGAGCAGTGCTGCTGGCTGATCGAGGTCAGTTTTAAAGTAGAGCTTCTCTTCTAGTGTCAGGTATGCACCACACTCACTTGCCTACTGGGGTTTGTGTTTTTCCAGTGTCCTGGGCTTCCATATATCCTAGAGCTGGTGACACCGACCTGATTACCAGTCATGTCTCTTTGGGTTTTACCCACATAGTTTTCTCGGTTTTAACACTGCAAATTTTAGTAGGGAAAATGCTCTGCATGATGATTATCTTAATTAGGCAGTTAACCCATTTTTATTGTAGAAAGAAACACACACAGGCAAACGATTACTTCACTTATTCCCACCATCCTTGGTTAACTTGCTCACGCTAAGTATGTATCTTTCCAGATTGCTGGAGACATACACATGTATAAATACTTTTCTAAAAATACAAACATACTGTGAGTATCTTTGTGTCCGTTGAAACCTGTATCTTGTGCATATAGGTGTGTATCCTTAAGACTGCATTACCTTCTGTAGGGATTCACCAGAACTTAATTACCTGTCACCAGACATTTTTGTTGCACGAATATTTACACGCCGTAAACTCATCTAAAACAACATCTTTATACCTTTGTCTCTGCTGTAATTATTTCTTAGGATAAATGGACTTGCAAGGTTTAAGAGACTACGAGCATTTTTAAGGCTTTACATTCTCTTTAGGGTGTATTTGTATATCTTGCTTCCAAACAAATTCCTCTGTGTAGCCAGTCCCCAGTCTACAGTTTTCAGCACAGGTGAAGACAGCCAGGACACCCCAGTCAACACTCCTGCCCAGTCTGTCGGCCTTCAGGTGGTTGAGCAGCTGGGGCATGACCTGAGAAGAGGATGACAGGATTAGAGCCCTGCGCTGAGGCAAGGAGCACTGCTTTCAACAGACCTTCCTTGCCAGAGTGATTGCAGGGCCCCTGGTCTTTCTGCTCTCTGGCTTTGACAATGAGAACCAGTTACTATTGGATACAGTCTTCACAATTCCTTTTTTCCCCCAAGCAACAGGTATTACCTACTCCTCTGTAAGGTTAGCAGATCCACAATACAAGAGCACTTATACCTAACCCAAATGGATTGTGACCCTAACAATTCCTTTTGAAAAACCATTTGTCTTAATGACTATATCCACCTGTTTTCCTAACAAATCCACAAACTAAAGACCAAACCTTACTAAGGCCTCTAAAACGCTCCTGTCACCAAGTACAAAGACCTTAACTGCCACAACGGGAAAAGAAGGAATATTCACCATTACAAGGGTACAAAAGGCAGACACTAAAAATAATGATGTAACCACACTGGGAGTTGGGAGGATGGTCCAGAGGGAATAAGGAACTACGTGCCAGTCAGCGGGTAATGTCCAGAGACGAGCAGACTGACAAGTCATCAGAAAAAGCATTTACTTGAGAGCACTACCGGACGAAACTGTAAGACTGTTCCCTCCAGGGAATAAGCTCTGGGGTGGGAGGCACTTCCCGTGGTAACAACAGGACCCGTGTGCATGTGTTACTTCAGTAAAGTTTTGAGGCATTTAATAACATCACTTACGGCGATTATATCTTGAAATAGTCATTTAAGGTCATACCTGGAATTCAAATGTTCTCTTGGCACCACAGGGGCAATTTGGAATATCCTTTTCTTGAGGGATATTTTCACCAGAGATCCAGATGGGTGCAATCCCTCTGCCGTATCTGAGAACCTAAGATCAGCCAGCGTCACGAGCAAACCTCCACCATCTCCTCTCAACTGCCAGCACGACTGGCTAATAATCTGGGGAACTTTGATGAACACTCACCCGAAACAGTTTTACTGTTCCCCCACCTCAGACCTGGCACCATTAATACTTTTTCAGTGTTATCAAATCAGGTATTTTAGCTTATCTGACTCAGGATACCAAAATCCCATTTCGTAGATGATGATATGGTTAGAATCTGAATCCTAGGAATGTTCTGTGAGGGTCCCACCATAATCCTGTTTCTCCATGACCAGCTTCTGAATCCAAAATGTAGCCCAGAGTCTGCTTATTTTCACAGTGAAAGGAACCTCAGTTAAAAATTTTAAAAGGGACCAGGGGTGTCTGGGTGGCTCAGTTGGTTATGCACCTGAATCTTGGTTTCAGCTCACGTCACGGTCTCAGGGCTGTGAGATGGAGCCTCCAGGCTCAGCACGGCGTCTGCTCGTCCCTGTCCCTCTCCCCCTCCCCTCGCGTGCGCGCTCTTTCAGCATGCTCTCGCGAATGATAAACAAAACCTTGAAATGAAAAATTCTCCCTTGCTTTGCCCCCCTGCCCCTGCTTGTACTGCTCTCAAAATATATACATACATATTTTTAAAGAAATTTAAAGGGACAAATGTCAAATAATACACAGTTGTTTAAATACTACAGAGAGAAACTGCATCGTAACCGAGTGGCTTTCCTAGGTTTTGTCAAAAGCATGTGCATTATCGGGGCACCTGGGTGGCTCATTGGGTTGAGCCTCTGCCTGCAGGTCAGGTCATGATCTCAGGGTCCTGGAACGGAGCCCCGCATCTGGCTCTTTGCTCAGCGGGGAGCCTGCTTCCCCCGCTCCCTGCCTGCCTCTCTGCCTACTTGTGATCTCTGCCTGTCAAATTAAAAAAAAAAAAAAAAAAAAGTCTTAACAAAAAGGGATATGCATTACTAAAAACTACCTTCGCAGTGTTTAGGACCTAGGTTTTTTCTTATGATGTTCTTCCCCTGGGTATTTATTTAATTCAGTGACTGCTTTTTAGGCATTTAGCTGAACTTTCTTCAGTGATTTAGGTTTCGGATGATTGTCTTTAAGGGGAATGAAATTAATTCAAGAACAGAGATGAAGAAGGGAGACATTTGCTGAGCACTTACTATGTGCCTCCAATTCCCCCTTCATCCTCACAACTAACCTCTAATTTTTTCACACTGTAGATGCAATTACATCAGAGCTCTTCATGTAACTCTAGAATCGAGGATTATTCCCAACCCCAAAGCCCATTTTTCTTCTCAGAAAACCAGTGTCTGTGTTAACGTATCATGTTGGTCTTACAAGCAAAAGGTTCCTGCTGGATAAATGGGCAAAAATACCTGTTCCGTTCTCGCTGCCGCTGGTGCAAACTGCCTGTATTACAAGCAACATCTGACTCACTCATCTGTGTCCGATGCCTTCTTTAAAATACGGACCCCACAGGATAAAGAGCATAACCTGTCGTTTTTCAGCAATTACTGACAGGATCAGCAGACCATCTGTGTGAAGAATGCCTACTATAAGAGACTACCTGTATCGTAGTTACTTTGCAGGGACTGTACCTTGAAAACACCACCCGAGAAGAACACAAAGAAGAGTTGTAGGAGTTCTAGTTTACCTGTTCTGGTTCAAGGGCTATTTTAGTTTTAAACTTCTGGAAAATTTTATCTTCCTTGGATTCATGTTTTGCCATGGAATCCAGTTCCTCCTCAAGTGCTTCACCTGAAAAATATCGGCACAACTGTTAGGGCAACAGGATTAGTGCCCATGACCTGGTATTTCCCACATGCTGCGGGTAGGAAATTTCAAACAACCAACTTCATGTTAAATGAGATCACAAAAGCCCCATGTTCCCCACAGGCTCTTTCCTATTTTAATGCCTTTTGTTTTCACTACTGCCCTTAAGCTGCCTGGCCCATCCCCATATCTTCATGTCTCACTCCTGTCTTTTCCCAGCTGGTATACTCACTCCGCCATCACTCACTCTGTGGACCTACCAGCTTGTTCTCTCTGCCCACTCCTCTCCTGGAATCCCAGCTCTCTGAACCACAGTTGTCCTCAACAGGATTTAGTCTGTGTTACATGTACCAAAGTATATCTTTGCTATCACCTGAATAGGAACTATAAACCAATAAGGTGATATTCAAAAGACTGATTTAGACTCTAAAACCCAATTTTGTGGTAGTTAAGAGCTCAAATTCTGGAGTCAACAACATGTGAGCTCAAACTGCAGTTCTGAATCTTTAACAACTTTGGCTACGTGACCATGTTACCCAGAAAACCTCAAACTTCTCACTGCAAAATGAGGTACAGTTTCTCACTCACTATACTGCTTTCAGGATTTTTAATGAGCTCGTGCACAAAAAGCCCTTGATGCAGAGTAAGACCTGGATAAATGCTGGCTACGAACCCTTCTCTTAGGTATCTGGTCGACCCAGATACCACATTTAGCATACCATCATCATCTCTAGGTAACCTGGAAAATTGGGTAGGTGAGAGAAACATTTAAAGGGCACCTGCTCGCCAAACACTACGCCATGTGTCTTCCGTATGTGACCTTGATCTGAGAAACAGATCTGGGATCCAGAGGAGCTTACCAAGTTTGCAGCATCTTGTGGAGGAGCCCTACCCAAATGACCACCTGCATACTTACCCTGACATGTCTTCATCAGAACCAGAATCTACCTGATACATATGCCAAGGAGGAGAGGGATAGGAAGGATACTGTCAAACGATAGTGTTTGAGAATCATAGGCTACGGGACTCCAAAGTGAGTTCACTTCCTGTCAGTACCTGCCTCTCTGACGTACTGAGCCTTTTCTTTCCAGCCTTTTCCTTAATCACTTAGTGAATCAAGTTCTAAAACTGGTTCCTTACCCATGCTCCCCATGATTTCTGATTCATTTTCTTTTTCAACAACTTCAGGTGTAATCTCATCTTCTGTTTCTATTACAATTTCAAATTCTGGAAAAAGGAAGTTGTGGTCTGGAATTGTGTCCAAATAATCTGAAACAAGAGAAGGTAACTAGCATCACTACTAATCATACAGTTTTAAAGAGGATCCAGTCGTCTCCCATTTCTAACGTATATTGGATGCAGCAGCAGTTTTCCCTAACAAATCAACACACACAGTCCCTGCAATTTAGATCATAAATTAAACGCCTGTATTAAAGCAAGTTTGGGGCATCACTGAACAGGCAAGACCTCAGGGCTCCTCTTCCGAGGTGTTCACGGTATCAGTTACTACGACTCTGAAAAGCTAATGCCTTCTCTCATCTTAACTTTTAATCTCAAAACTAAAAACTTGGGTTGACAGATGCTACGAAACTGAGCTACGACTTCAAATGAGTCGCTCACCGGACTGTGTACAAGCCTGCTTATGCCCGGATCTCCAGTCCAGAGTCTGGTGCTCCCTGCTGCAGTAATGTGCCTTGTGGCATCTGGAGCACGTTTTGGGGCCTAAACAGCCACAAACCCTGCAGAGATGAGCACCAGACTGGAGCTGGAGGCGCACGCACTCTCCCGTCTCTGCAGGAGGGTCCTCGGAAGGCGGCTCGTAGGAGTAAAAGTCGTTCTTCCTGGGTAGCTGATTCCTGAAAACTAAGAGAGAATGAGGAGAAATGTTGTATCACAAATAAGACAATCCCGCAATCCGCGTATCGGAGCCTTCGGCCCCAGGGGACTGAAAAGACCCGAATTCCTTAAACAGAGAAACAGGAGCTTTTTGACTTCAGGGATCGGATCTTCTGTCGGGGCACGTAGCCAGTTCGGCACCACAGCAGTCGGAGCCGGTCTCTGTCGGACTCCGGGTTCCGCCACGCGGACGGCAGAAGTGCGGGGCGCCGTGCGGGCCCAGCTTTCCGGACGACGGTCCGTGCTGTCGGGGGAAGCGCGCCGACTGCCTTCGCCCGCACCGACGAGCCCAGGGGCGGGGCGCGGGAGGCGCCGGGGGGGGGGGGGGGGGGCCGGCCCCCCCCCCCCCCCGCCCCCGCCCGCCGCGCGGGACCCCCACTCCCCCCCACCCCTCCCCGCCCCAGCACTCCCCGCCGCCGCGTGGGACCCACCCACCGCCGGCCACCGCGGCCGCTCACCGCGCAGGCCCGCGCAGCACGGCGGCGCCCGGCAGCAGAAGAGGAAGAGGCCGCGGTGGAAGGCGTCGGCGCGGCCGGGCAGCGGCGCGTACAGCTGCAGCAGGAAGACCAGCGGGCGGCCGCACAGCGCGCAGGCCAGCTCCTCGGGCCCCGGCAGCCCGGCCGCCCCCAGCCACGCCGGCCGCCCGCCCACCTTGCTTGGGAACTGCTCGCTGCGCAGCCGCCACGCCGGCGCCGCCTCCACGAAGCCCAGTTCAGCCGCACGGGCGGCCGCCATACGGCGAGCGGGGCCGGCGTGCGCGGGGATGGCCTCCGCGGCCGGAAGGCGGAAGTCAGCGCAGAACCGGGTATCCGGAGCGGGCGGGGCGAGCTGCCCGGGAGAGGGGGCGGGACTAAGGAACTGACTTCCGGTCCCGTGACCTGGGGGCGGGGCGAGGAGTTGAAAGACCCAGGGAGAGGCATGTGCGAGTTCACCGAGTAGTTCCACGGTGTCTTTAGTGTCGTTTTTGCCTCTTCCCTGCCTTTTGGACGTGGGGCCCTTTGCCACGTGGTACACGGAGAGTTTTATTTTTTTAAGTAAAAATTGGCAAGAAAATTCCAGTTCTAAATGCAACAAGTCTGACGCTTGGCAGTCTGCCGCGGAGCCGCTCCCCGCCCCTTCGAGGGCGGCCCCCCCGCCGCGCCGGTGACCTGCGGGGTCCGGCCGCGCCCCTCTGCGCGGGGAGGGCCGTGCCGGCCGGGACGTGAGCGAGTGGAGCCTTGGCCCCGACGCTTCTATTTCCAGGAGTTATTTTATAGCCGAATTGCGTCTCACGTTTCCTTTCTTCTGAGAGCAAGTTTCTTTAATTCTACTTAAACTTGAGCGTGAAAACATAGTAACAATCTTCCGTCTCGGTGTCACGTCTGGGGCGGTGGTTTGTTTCCCGAAGGGCATGTGGATCCTTCTTAGAGTCTTGAGCAACGAAATTCAGTTCTGTTTTGCTGAAGGAGAAACAACACGAGAATGTTTCTGTTTTAAAAAAATTTTAAAAGATTTTATTTACTTATTTGAGGGAGAGAGAGTGGAGTGAAGAGAACGCGGGTGGGGGGCGCAGCAGGCTCCCCGCTGAACAGTGATCCCAGGAGCCTGGGACCGTGACCTGAGCCCCCCAGGAGCCCTGAGAATGTCTATTTTTAGCAACTAGGTTCTTGAAATTGAGGAAGCCACATCCCTTCTAAGTAGGGTATTTGTAGATGTGAACTGCGTTCTGAGGGAGAAAAACCAGTTTTTTCTCTGTCTGTCGAGGTCAGGGAACAGTGCGTAAAAGCAGATCGTTGAAGAATGTTCTGCTTCACTCCAGTGAGGACTGCCTGCTCCAACCCAGTTTTACCCAACAAACTTGTCCTTCCAGCAGTGGAGTCCCAGATTGCTTAGAGAATCCAGTGACTTTTCACACCTCCAGTCTGTGATACACCCTTTTCTTTTCTGATACACATAATTCAATCATATGAAGATGAGATAATGCCAGAGACACTCCTTCAAAACAAACCCATTTGGGAGATCTGTTTCAGTTCCTACTGTAGATCCCTCTGCTTTTTATCTTTAATTACTGAATATTTTTTACTTGGAATCAATGTATCACGAATTGTAGCATATGTTTAGTGGGCAAATGTTCAGATCTGTCTGCCCCTCTTTTCCCTAATTTACTGTCAGATCAGCTGTAGCCTATGGCTTAGCTTTAGTTTCTGTCTTCATTACAATGGATCTGAAAACATCAGCTTTCATTTCAGAAATCGATACCATCTCCACTCCTCTCCCTAAGTCTCCAAGTGGATGTTCTCCAATGTGACCTTTCTGGCCCCTGTGCCTCCTTCCCACCCCTCCATTGAAGCACACACCTCCCCTCTGGACGTGATCTAGCACCCCCCACACTGTCACCTCAAGGCAAAGGATTTTTTGCGAGTCTATTTTGCGGAGGTTCAGCTGATGACCCTGTGACTCACATCATCACCCTCACGTAAAGGGAGCAAGCTGGCAGGTCGATTCCCATGAGTTACCAGTATTCCGGAATACCTGCACTGAATCAGCCCCGGCGAGGACGAGTCATTTTGCTGTTGAGCACATGTGCTCCCACACTCCACTGACCTCAGATTGCCTAGGCACCAGACTCTTCCACCTGCAGAAGGGAACTTACAGGGACCACTTAATAATTCTAGGTCTATAAAGAGCAAAAGGTGTTTTCCCAAAACACTGAGGAGAAAATGAAGCGGAATAGAAGTGCCCCGAAGTCACAACTGTAAGACAGTCTCTCATGTGTTGCTGGTGGGAAAGGCTCGTTTGCCCTTTGGAAACCATCCAGAACAGAGACTTCACCCATCCCTGGATGGAAAATTGGTATATTAGGTATCCTCACCTTTGTTGAGGGTCTTTAGTGGTTTTGCTGAGCTGTCAGAGTACCAAATGCTCAGTCAGACATTTGAATCTCCACAACCCAAACTGGACCTTTCTTTTGGAGTCATTTCTTGTTATTCTCACCTGATATTCCTTATTTGGTGGACAATATCAGGGTCAGGGTTTAGAGTCAGGGTCAGGGTTAGGATCTGGGTCAGCGTCTTAGTGTAAGTCCGGGTCAGTCTCACATTCTGGGTCAGCATCAAGGTCAGTGTTTAGGTCAGGGCCCGGTTCTGGGTCAGGGTCCGGGTCAGGGTCTGGCTTGATCATAAGTGGCCCCCTTTCCTTTCTTCTCTTTCTTCCTCTTTCTTAGCCTTTAGGATGGACAGGACTCTCATGGTCACACATGCATCAAAAGTTGGTCTGGGGAGCGTTGTTTTTATTCCCCTCAGTGTTGGGCTCTAAAAGAAGAGAGAAATATGGGACTGGCCACTGACTGTTACAAATCCAACTCAACCTGAATCATGGGTTGTGGATGGCCTCAGAGGTCATGCAGGATCCTCCCACCCTCCCACCTATAAAGGGTGCTGCTGGCTCCACTCTGCCTGGGGATTCCCAGTCTCCAGCACAGGGCACTCAGTAGGCATGTGTGGATTTATATAGGATGAGGTGTGCACCAGCCCCTTTGTGCAGCTTTCTTGTGGGCTGGCGGTGCCCTCCTGGCACTGGCTGGATCCTTCATCCCATCCAAGTGATCAGGAGCAGACAACGAAGTCTCAGAAGAGCCCTTGCCCTCAGAGCATCCATACAGGCACCTGTGGTCCTCCAGCTCTGGCCAACCTTGGTCTTGACAAACCCCACAGCATTTACTGAGCTGACTGCATTCCCAGGCAGTGTAATAGGCCCACAGACCGTGTAGACAGCTCCTTAGGATGTTTTCATTCCCAGCGTCTATGTGGTTGAGACAAGTGCTTCCTCCCTCACAGTCTTTGAGCCTGCTAAGAGAGAGAATAATCCTCCAAATACAGAATGTGGCTCTGGCTACAACAGCCATGCAGCAGACTGGCCCTATAGTCCTTTGGCCATGGTCATAATGTAAATTTTTGAAATGCATACTTGTTAGGAATCAAGGACATAGGAACAACTGTGTCTCCCAGCAGGCAGTATCTCCCTGGGACTGCATGGTCTCAGAGAGCTGCATGCATGACCCAGGGTCTGTGGCCCTTGAGCGGCCTGCCAGGTGTGGATTCTGTGTTGTGGAAAAATCGTCAAGCCTCCCACTGCTTCACTGAACAATAATTTCCTGACCACCCTCACGTTTGGTCTCTGCTCATTGTAAAGGAGAGAGAAGAGACTGGAAATGAGCCAGTTTGTTTTCTGGGGGTTGAATGATTAATGTTGTGGGGGCAGGGATGACTCCCAGGCTTCCCTCCTCCCAGGGATACGAGTGAGGTCTGTGTGCCTTCCAGTCTCTGATAAACGAGGACTCAACGCCCAGGGCAGGAGCCTTGAGTTTCCCACCAACAGCAAACCGCTTTTTCGGCAGTTGGAAGAGGGTCTTGCCATCATGGGAGGACAGGAAGAGCACTGGATGGGCGGCTGCAGCCCCTGACCCTAAGTGGGCCCCTTCCTTCCCTGGGCTTCAGATTCCACAGCGGTGTAGTCACCCACCAGTGATGTGGAATCTGCTGCTTTTCCAGCCCAGCATCTGTTCTCATGTTCAAAGCTAGCATCTCAGCTTCCCTTTGGGAACCACCTCTTGCCTGCCTCCCATCCAAACAGTTCCAGAGGGCAGACCCCACATTCCACCCACCTCAAAGATGGACACATGATCCAAGTCTACCCAACCCTGTGCTCTGTCCTCTGGATACTCTGATGGCTTCAAGGATGAGAGTATGACTCAAGTCAGGCCAAAGACACTTAAATCCATGACTTCATGGAACCCAAGAGAAAGAGAAACTCTTCCCATTAGAATGGATGGCGAGTGAGTGTCAGCCTGGAGTTTTGGGAAGCCCCAGAAGCAGTGAGAGAGACTGTGCCTGTGAACGGCTCCTCCCCAGAGCACTTAGCAGGATGGAGGGTCAGAGAGGGTCCGAGTCACACTGTGAGAGTGTGAGCCCCTGAGCCTGCCAAGTCCAAACCCAGTCTTAACTTGCCTCTTGCAAGTGTTAGTGTATTTCTACCATTAAAAAATACTGATTTATTTCAATTCAGTAGGTGCATCAGGATCGACAGTCCTGAGACTTCCCGTGCATAGTGTCCTTACTGGGAGTAGCGTGGCTGGGGGAGAAGAAGACGATAGGTGGGGCTGGTTTCAGGACAGCTCCAAAACAGCTCTGCCTTGTTCCTTCTTTGTCTCCAGAGAGGAAAACCCCAGAACAGTGAGGGGAGAACCAGCAGGAGGAAGAGGCTCTTGGATGGTTAATTGCCTGCTTGCATTCCCTTATTTTAGAGTCCATTTTGTTAATGTGCATTTTTATTAGGAAATCACCCATTTCCTCTAGCCTTCCTTTCTGATGCAATAGGTTTCTCTTACCTGACCTTTAATTTCTTCTCTCTTTCCATTTTTTTTTTTTTGGTCAGGATTGCCACAATTAATGAACAAATGTTGGTACCTTATTATTTACTGAAGTCCATACCTTATTCAGGTTCCCTTGGTTCTACTTGTTCCGGCTCCAGGTTCCTGGGCAGGACACCACATGACATGTGGTCATCACGTCTCTTTAGGCTCTCCTTGGCTGGGACATGTGTTGATGACCTGGACGATGTTGAGGAGGATTGGTCAGACATTTTGTACATAGACCTGCATTGGGATTTACTTGTTTTTCTCTTCGTTCGACTGGTGTTGTAGTTTTCGGGGAATCAGATCACAGAGCTAAAGTGCTCTGTCATCACTGTACAACAAGGGAACACTTGTCTCTGTCTGTGTTAATGCTGGCCA